CGCTCGTTCGTTTCTTTTTTCCTCTCTTTTTCTTCGACACATTCACCACCAACAGCAGCCCTAGCAGTTGTCAAAGTGTGTATGTACGTGCAGAGAAGAAAATATAGGATTCGGCAGTCATTTTTTTTTCTTCTTGTGTCTGCGCGCTGAAAAAGCCGAAGAGAGAGAAAATACCATATACAGATCGACCGTCTTGATTATTAGAGAGAAAATCTGTATATGCCATTGTCATGGTCACTACGCCTTTCGTTATTACATATAGTGTTCATTCATTTATTTCTTAGTCGTCTATATTAGAGGTTTGTTTTTTTGCTACTTTAGAATATAAAAAAAAAGTATATATGTCCTTGATATATATCTTTAGTTGATTGTAAGAAGAAGAAAAACTCTACTCGTTTTCTTTAAACATGGCGGCGGGAGGAAAAACGATCGATTGTCTAAAAAACAAGTTGTTGTTATTTTGTTATTGTCGAGGTTAGATGTGCAATGAAAGGGCAGAACGAATCTTGAGAGATACAGTTGACGACAAGAAACAGTAATAGGGTAAATCGAGGGAGGAGAGAACACACGGGACAAGAAAAGGAGAAAACATCATATGTCTTAGTTATAAATAATATTCTTCGGTTGTTTTTTTTGTTTCTAGATTATACTGTTTTATACTCTCTTTCTCTCTCTCTAACTTATCTTTTATACCTATTAATGGCTGCTGGCAATGTCCCATTCAAAGCATTACCAAAACAAATGAGTGATTCATGGATAGTTATTGATGAACAAGATGAATCGGACTTTGTTGTCATCGAAAATGAACATGGTAAACAGCAGTCTCCTGTACCCGTGATTCCATCTCCAAAAACTTCTCCACAATCAAAACGACCTTTGGCACAAAATCATAATAATAATAAGCCAACGAATATGTGTCAACCACCATCTGGTGTTAAACAGAATAAAAAACGTAAATGGAAGGTGCTTTATTCATTACCATCAACAGGTGTTAAAGCAAATGTTGATGATTCAAATCTTGATTCATATGTTATGGATCAACATGCGCAATTATTCGACAAACGTGATTTATTTAGTTCTCAACAACGTATTGTCAAAGTCAAATGATTTATTTTTTTGTCTTTTCATTTATAATCATGCCAAAGCTAGATTAGACATTATTTCACATATGTTTTTTCAAGCCCGATTCCTTTCTTATATGTCTTTTTCTTTTTTTTTCTAATCTAGTGTTGTATATTAGCAAAAACTATCTTTTCTCTCTGAACTAATACTTCCTCACTTATATATATATATACATATATAATATTATTTTTTGGAGCTTTTTTTTCCTCGTTTGCTATTCGTGTATATTTCTATTGTTCTTATTTCTGTCTAGTGTCTTTTCTTTTTTCTATGTATGACGATCAAAAAATGCAGATACGCGTGCGTGAGAGAGTGACGAGAGAAAGATTTTGAAAATTTACGGAAAACATCAAGTGGAAATATTCGTATGACTTCTTCAGTTTTTTTTGTAAAGTGTATGCTTTAGATCAATTTTGTATCCAAGAGATAAGAGAGAGTGTGTATATCTTTGTTTGTGTATTCAAACTTTTTTTTCTACCTATGTATATGTTATACGCCTGTTGTCATCGTCTAGAATATTTATGTATATAACAGAAAAAATACGATGAATGGAGTAACAAACGAAGAAAAAAAATGAGAACAAATATAAAAATAAAATCATGCGCTTACAACTAAACTCATAAAGTAAAATTTTGTCTTAATAATAATTTCATATTCTATTTATAAACTACATCATCAATAATTTGCTTCTCATATTTTATAAATTGCAATGAATTAACATATTATCTCTCTTATCGATATCACTTAATACATTATTCGAAAATTTCTATTTTGTTTAATAGTAGACAATTTTTTTCTTATTTGATTATTCATTCTATGTACATATTTTATTGACAATCGATTTTTTATCCGTTTATCTTACTTCAATTTTGTATGTATAAATAAGCTTTTGTTCTTACTGTCTAAACAATTAAGTGCGAAGTCTGGATAAATATTGACAACAAAAACAAATCACTAGGATTGAAATTGCATCAAACAGCTATAACGTATATATGAAGAAAAAAAACATGATAGACAAACCACGCAAACAATCCCTTTCAGTATGATTGTTTTTTATGAATAGTTAGATGAAAAACAAAAAAAAATTGTTTTTGACAGTATTGAAAAAATCAGTCAATAGGTAAAACATGATTTCTTTTTATAATTATGTTTTTTTTTCATATGAAATATTTCTGTCAGAAGAAATCAATAACAAAAATATTTTTATACAATAGTATTTTGTTTATATGCTAATTTATTTTTCAATATGGGTGGATACCTTTCAATCGTTTTTTGTTAAAGATAAATGTGTATGCTTGAGTTATAAGCAATTTACATAAGTTAAAGTAACGTGGCCTGATGGTCTAGTGGTATGATTCTCGCTTTGGGTGCGAGAGGTT